TGGAGTGGCAGCTGCTTTTGAATATTCTAAGGATAACTTGGTGCAGCCATCAGCGTAAGAGCGTGGGACCACCCTAACCCCTGATAGGAAAAATCTATCTAGTGTTTTTTTCTTAAGTATGTTGCTAGTTGAATCCTGATTTAGATTTTGTTGTTAGAAGCCATCTACCACCTTCTGGCAATTTACAGCCCAGGATGTCTTTCCATTTGGCATATAGGGCCTGGTCTGTGCAGTGACACCTAAGTTAGTGGCACACGTAGTTCGAAGGTGACAGGTGAAAAGACTCGCCTGGCCTTTTTAGGAGCTGTAGCTTTAAAACATTCCATAGAAGTAGAATTATTTGCTGGTTCACCTTGAATTGTCTGTACCAAGCAGTAATAAATCTAGTCAACACTTGGATTTGGTGCTAGAGGGATAACTACCTGCTTTTGATCCCTGCAAGGGGCAGCAGCAGATCCCGAAGGCAAATAAGGACACCGCGCCACATAATGTCTGTTACATTTGTAACATTTTCACACACAGAGCATGTACCTTTTAACACCCCATTTTAATTCATACCGACATGTTCTACACTTTAATTATACATTTTCCCCTGGTCCTTTAAGGATGGCCTTTTGAGAAGTGCTTACTAGGTTATAATATCTCAGAACAGTTAAGTAGATATTTTGCTGTTAAAAGGGTTCCATAGTTTTTAGTAATTTCTCACAGTGAAATTGGACTATTTGGGAATAATCACAAACTCTTTTGAACAGATGTGGATCCCCAGACCTTCTCTGTGCTGATTGGAAACCGAGAATGGATGAGACGCAACGGCTTGACCATTTCCAACGACATCAGTGACGCAATGACAGCCCATGAGATGAAAGGCCAGACAGCCGTCTTGGTGGCTATTGATGGTATCTCTCTGCTCACGCCTTCCTTCTGCTTTCTCAGAAATGAAGTTTCTTGGAGATGTCAGGCAAAAATAAATTTCTCCTTTTAAAAATCAATCAATCAATCAATCAATCTTCCTCTCTATTAATTTAGTTCTATTTTGTAAAAGATTGCCTTGCCATCTTTTTCACTTCATTCTCAGTCCTGAGGCCAGGTCTTGTGCTGCCATAGGTCTCCTTGCTCTTAGAATTCCAAATTGTCTTCACCATCCTTGTTTGCTCCCATCCAAGCTGGCAGTTTGGAGTCATCCTTCTCATTCATCACTGCAGACAAAACAGTTCGCTCTTCACGAGGTTTAACTATGGCATGCCTTTAAATAATGGGATCCCTGCAACTTTTCTCAGTGCTTCTCAAAGTTACATGTGTCTTTGTACTCAGTTGTATCTTGGACTTTACGTCTCAGAGAGATTAGAATCTTACTTTGTTAATGTTAATTTCTGCTAATAGAAGTAAAACTAAGTAAAAATAAGGAATAATAATTTATGTTGCTGTATTTTGAATGTTCCAGCCAAATATGTCCTCTTTCCTCTCTTCTTTTTTTTCCTCCTCTCACCACCAGGCCGCCTTCTAAGTCCTTGTAAACCCGCAGTCTCCTCAGCTCGTCAGGCCAGAATTAGCTCAACTAAAGAAATGCCCCATTACACATCACTTACCCCTACTCTGCTCCCATTACGCCTCAGGCCTCGAAAGCCTTTCTGCTTCAATATCTAAAAGATTCACAGAAAAGAAGAAAAGGAAGGATTGATTTTTTTTTTTTTTTTTTTGCTATTTGGTCATTCATCACTTTCTAAGAAACATTTGTTGTATTTGTTATATTTCTCATGTTTTAATAGCTAACATGTATTGAGTTATAAGCCAGGCACTCTGCAAAGCACTAGGTATGCCTTGCAAAAATTTGGAAAATCCCGAGAGCTGTAAAGAAAAATAAATCACCCATTATCTTACTCCTCAGAGAGCCACTGTTGACATTTTTGTATGCATCTGTCGATATTAAAAAAACGAAATCAAAACCCTATTATGTTACATAATTGGGGGTTTTGTTTTTTGCATTAACACGATATTGTGGAAACTGTTCCCACTCATGAAATCGGGCTTGCTCCTGGGGCCACCTGGTGTCCCACCATCGCGCACTTACTGGGCTGTTTCCTTCAGGGGTGCTCTGTGGGATGATTGCCATCGCAGACGCCGTCAAGCAGGAGGCCGCCCTGGCTGTGCACACGCTGAAGAGCATGGGTGTGGACGTGGTTCTGATCACGGGGGACAACCGCAAGACAGCCAGAGCCATTGCCACCCAGGTATGGGCCTGGATCCAGGGCCGGGCCGTCCTCCCCCTTTCCGATTAAAGTGATTTTAAGCTTGCTGAAGCAGTTTGAGAAAAAAAGTAAGTGCCAGAGCATCCAGCACTCATGTGCTCTGATCTGCTCCAAGCCAAGCAACACCCCACAGGGGACACCATTGCTGCCACAGCAAAGATCACATTCTCCGGGGCCTGGGAGCCGTAATTCACGCATGACCAGCTACAACCCTGGAAGAGCAATTCCATCATTTTCTATTTCCTGGTCTTTACAATGGAAAAAAAGATTAAGACTTGAGAGCTGAAATCAACAACTTTGTCTCGATGTTGAAGGAATGCTTTGCCAGTTCAACTCTTCCCACTCTTGTGCACCAGATAAACGATGGGATCCTGGGCAGTTCTCCAGCAGCCTTGGCTTCTGAGTTGGGGCCACGAGGACAGCACTGCTGCCTGCTTGCCTGACCCACCACATGGGATGGCTCCAGTGCAGATTCCTGAAAATGACATATACCCCTACTCCCAAAAATGTGTGTGAAGCTGTATGCTTTTGACAAAGGAAGCAGCAGTACCTCTCTTTACTTGGCCTTCCTTGCTGATGAACTTGTTAAAATTTGTTCATTCATTCAGCATGCATTTATTAAGCACCACCCATGTGACAGATAGGCTACCAAGAAGAGTGAAGGGGGTACCTGCCCTTGAGATGCTCACAGTCCTGTGGGACAGTAGACCAATAACCAAGTATAAGTTAAATGCTTGGTTCTTCAACAGAAGGGTGCATAGGACATGTGGGAGCTGCCAGCTTACCCTCTAGCCTGGCAGGGGCCAGGGCTGCCTTCCGAGGGGAGAGGATGCTTGAGTCTGGAGTGGTCTGATGAAGAAGACGGGAGCGGGAAGGGCCAGCTGACCTTTCCAGTACAGAACAAGCAGCATGAGCACTGCCTGGGGAGCACAGAGAAGCAGTGAGTTGGAGAGCTCAGAGTTCAGTGTGGGCCCGCAGGGTCAGCAAGGCAGGGAGCTGGAGATGGGCAGAGACACCTGATCTAATGGGACCTTGGGAAGCAGATCACGGAGTTTAGATGTTTTCCTAAGGGAACTGGGGTCTGCTGGAGAACTTTAAGCAGGAAAGTAAAATGACCAAATGATTATTGTTTTGGAAAGACACTAGGACAGCATATGGAGAAGAGCGTTGGGAGCCCAGGATGTAGGCAGGGAGACCAGTGAAGACCCCATATCATAGCTCGGTCTTGTGATGGGAGTGGGGAGTAAATTTGCCATGCGACCTGGAGCCTGTAGGGCTTGATGACTGACCACAGTGACTGGACCTAGAAGCTGAGGTGGGGGTGGGGCAGGATGACTCTCAGGTTCCTGCTATATTCCCGTCCTTTGCCGACACTAGGTGTAGTTATGTTTTTATTTAATTTCTGACCGCTGTTCTCCTTTCCTTTTAGGTTGGCATCAAGAAAGTCTTTGCAGAGGTGCTGCCTTCTCACAAAGTGGCCAAGGTCCAGGAGCTCCAGAAGGAAGGGAAGAAAGTTGCCATGGTGGGAGATGGGATTAACGACTCCCCGGCCTTGGCCCGGGCCGACGTGGGCATCGCCATCGGGACGGGCACCGATGTCGCCATCGAGGCAGCTGACATTGTTCTCATCAGAGTGAGCTTGCTGTGTCTCCTCCTCCCCCTTGTCCAGGCAGTGGGAGTGGTAAGGGCCATGGGACACAGCTCCTGACTCACCAAGTGTTCCCCTACTACAGAACAACCTGCTCGACGTAGTCGCTGGCATTCACCTCTCCAAGAAGACAGTCTGGAGAATACGGCTCAACCTGGTGCTGGCGCTGATTTATAACATGGTTGGAATCCCCATCGCAGCAGGTAGGGCGGCCCTCGCTGCTCGGTTACCTTGACTCCGGCTGTCTGCCTG